ATCCACCTCATAGTAACAATCCTGTCAGATCGTCCATCCTTTGAGTGAGAGTGTAACGTTACAGGTCGGCCGATCTGGTTTCGTGGTTAAAGTTAACCTTTTCGACATGTTTCCGTGTTGTCGTTGCTCAGCAATGGCATGGACGCGATGTTGTCTGGGGGTTTGGCAAAAGGAGAGTGGGACGGTGGGCGGTGCTCGGGGTGGTGACTGAAGGCGGTAACTGTGTAGTTCTGACGTCAACTTTTTACGGAAGTCACAACAGTTTGTGAAAAATCACAGCTACTTTATGCAGGCTGTGTGCATTTTACTGTGTACTTACTGTTTTGAAACTTATATGGTAGTTAAATAGCCCCTAGACCTCAGTTATCGTGAAAAAAGCCAGGAAATTTCAGTTTTGACAATATGGGACCTTTAAATGTAATCTGCAAATAATTAAATACAATTGGGGCCCCATTCACATGGAGACGCGTTTAGCTGTATATGTAAAAAAAAAAATATTGTATCAGCGTTTTGTCCAGACGGATCCGGCGTTTTGGGAGCATGAAACCACTATTTTTTTAAACCGGGTCCCAAAGTGGATAAAACTGAAAATGTTTTCATGTGTACAGCCAATCTGTATATTTTGTGAAACGATGATGATCACCCCACGTCTCGCCCCTAGTCAGACACCGCTAACTTATGTCACGTAACAGCAACAACAACATGAACAAACACTGAACAATTGTCTTTTTATTAACTAACATTAACACAGATTAATAAATGTATTGTTCCATGTTCGTTCGTATCCAGCGGGCAAGGTTTATGCGCATGCTCCAAGTCTTCTCCATTTTTAGTGTATCTCTGTGGCAGAATTACAGTGCCACATACTGGACTGGCATACTACATTGTTTTGTGTCGCTTTCGTGGTTTTGCGTGTACGCAGATATTTCTTGAGACGAGGGGAAAAAAAAAAGATTGGATAGGGAAAGCTCTGGCTTGTGGATGTGGCCTAAATATGAAGGTTCTGTAAAATAGTTGATTTATTAATTTGTAGTTTTTTTGTGTTTGTTATTAAGCAGAGCTTGGCAAGGTCAATCAGAAAAAAATAAGTATTGTTTTCCTTTTTGCATTATACATGCATAAATATTAAAATTCATTAATTAAAAATGTATAAAACTGACCCGAATACACACTGGCGGCAAATCCTCTGATTTTTGAAACCAAGGTTCAAGTATGATGTAACAAAGCCTTGTCCTAGAAAGACATTTTTAATCACTCATGACTACTGGAGAGAAATCATACAGACACTGAACAAAGAGGAAATTTTCTAGAGTGCATGTGTCGAGTGCCTGTGCTTGTGCATGCTATCAAATGAAGTATACTTTAAAAGGCTATGCGTTCAGCTGCACGCATATGCTAGTCTTCACGTCAAAACTGAAGTAGGCTATACTTGGGGCTTTATAATTAGATCATTCAATTGGATTTTTTTCAACAACTGAAGTATGATATAAAGATTCTATTGATTTTGATGAACTTTGATTCCTTGCAAGAACCGGTCAAACACTTTTAAAATGATGAATATGCAACTGTCCATGTTTGAGAGTTGAAAACAGGAAATCCGAGCATTGTGATGTACAGTAACATGTTCTGATAGTGGGAGAGTTGAGCTGTCTTATGTAATCAGCTTTGGGAGGGTTCCATGAGGTGAACCCAGCAGACTCTTAACTGTTAAATACGCCTTCCCACTGCGTGTTTGCCAAAGGGCCAGTCAGAACGTTTACTTGCACTTTAGAAGTTCAATATCTGGCAGACTGATGCAATAATTTGTCTTCATAAAATGTCATGTAAATGTTTTACTCTAAAATTGAAGTGACAAATCCAGATTTATTTTGGCATCACCATGGCCTCGGTGTTGTACGCTTGTTCTGAAATACATGGGTGACACGCAACGTGTATTAATCCTTCAGTATTCAAATACACTGTCAAGTACACTAGGACAGATAGATCAAGACGGCAACTCGACAACACAAAAACGCACTTTAGCTTGATTATAAAACATTTCAATTAGTGCCGTCAAATGATTAATCGTGATTAATCGCATACAAAATTAAAGTTTTTGTTTGCATAATATATGTATGTGTTCTGTGACACAACATACATATATTATGCAAACAAAAACTTCTATTTTGTATGCGATTAATCACGATTAATCATTTGACAGCACTAATTTCAATCTAAAATTGAAACCTGTAATGATCATTTCTATGACCTACCATAATCTTTAAAGTAATAGTTCATCAAAAATGATTAATCATTATAAATGATCAGTCATTATTTACATGGAGGAGTCCAGTATGGTGACAAATTAAGTCTTCCCTCAAAATCAGGTCTCCACTAGGACCCCAATTCATCACAATGGCTTAAATTACTTTTAATGGTTACTCTCTTTAGTGCCTGATTCCAGTTCCTAGCACATCATGTTATGAAAATCAATGCTGTTTAACCTCTTATAACAACCATTAATTTAGTATGCTTATGAACTGGCAAAGCATACAGAAACCTGATTAGCCTGATAGCTTAGTTTATATATTACGTTCACAGTAATCTATGATGTAATTACGTGCTAAATTAAGTTTCAAATATCCAAATATTACAGTTGCAAATAAGAACTATGTAATGATGTTTGCTTATTCGCTTACTATTAATTAACAGTTTATCAGATTACATTATTAAATTACATTGTGTCCAATTTGCTTTGTTATGCGCTATATAGCAACAGTATATAGTTGCTTAGAAACAACAAAAAGAAGATTTTTTCCAAAGGTCAGAAGATGATGCTCTATTTAATTTTACTTATTTGTATTTTCCCAATCAACTTACAGAAAAAGCATTAAAAACTTTTATACCACTTCCACAATGAACATTATTACAAGCTTGTAAAACATCACAAATACCTTGGGCTCATATGGAGGTGGTGCGGGTCCTTGCCACGGTGGAGGGTGAGGTGGTCGTACATGGTTATAGTGGCCATGGGGTGTCTGGGTATTGGACGGCCATTGCTGTTGGGGCGGTGTGTGCCCGTACACTCCAGAGTGGGTCCAGGCCTCATGCTGGGGTCTCGAGAGCATGGGCTGCTGGTTGGGGTAGGGAGCATTCGGAGGGCATCCTTCTCCATAGTGTGGGTATGATCCTGCTGGGTAGCCAGGGGCCTAACAGGAGAAAGAAGGAAGTGATAAAAAAAAGAAGACTCCTGTGGAAGTTAATAAGTAGGGTTGCACGATTAATCGAATACGATTGTCATGCGCATTCTGATAGTAATGCCGGTTCTGTAATCAGCAGTAAATCATCATCACGTGCTTTCAGATGGAGCAGCATTTACTTCACAGAGCCGTAGTTCACTGACAAGTTACGCAAAAATATCGCAGATGATTTTATTGCGCGATTATGAAATTGTTCGCGATAATGACAGCTGTTTGCATAGCTTCTCAGTGAACTACTGCTCTGTGAAGTAAATGCTGCTCCATCTGAAAGCATGTGAAAATACCACATTTACCACATGATGTGTAATTTTATTGCGCGATTATGAAATTGTTCACGATAATGACAGCTGTTTGCATAGCTTCTCAGTGAACTACTGCTCTGTGAAGTAAATGCTGCTCCATCTGAAAGCATGAGAAAATACCACATTTAATAACATATTTTTACTCCAAACTCACTTCATAACGTCAGTCGAGTGTTTGAAATAAATCCTTCTGTGAGATGATGTGGCTTCTTTATATTATATATATATATATATATATATAATATTTCATAGTATTTAAGCAGTGATAAAGGCATTGCATTATAAATATACTTTATTTTAATGATAATTATAATAATAATAATAATAACTCAGATAAACCATATATTGTCAAAATCGTGTGTTTATTAGTCACGTTGAATCAATGAAAGCAGTTCAATCTTCTGTTTATTCAGCTGCAGCGATAGGCATTTTCTGGATTTCTTCTGCGAGGTGTATTTGGAGTTTCAGCGCGAGAGCGCCCTCTGGCCTTTGGATGGAGATTTACTGCTGATCACAGAACCGTGCTTCACTGAAAGATACGCATGACAATCACAGCTTCTGTCGAATCGCGATCTCGATTCAATTTCGATTTATCGTGCAGCCCTATTAATAAGTCACTTAAAATATCAGATAATATGACAATGTTAGCTCAGATGTTGTGATGACAAAATATCATGTGGTCCAACTCCCAAAATCTTTTGTTAAAAATATAACTTAACTAAATAACTTTGTGGATACCCCATTATCTATATATCTATTTTTTTATTACTCTTTAATATTCCTATTTATCTTTCATTTATTTCTGTTTTAGTTTCAATCATTTTATAACTTAACCTTATTTAAATTACAGTATTTAAAAAGGCAATTAATGTTTGTTGGTTCAAGAGTTTTTCCATTTCATTTTTATATTTTATAAAATTTTTTGAGCTTTATTTTAATTATGAAAAATATTTTAGTTAACAATAGCAAAGCTGTTACACGTGTATTCAAGGTTTAAGAAAAATATCGTACTACTTTTTACTTGTTAAACCACATAACAGTTATTATAAAACTGACTTTTTATTTTTTTGAAAATAGCTTTTTTAGAAGCACATGAAACCAACATGAATACAAAGAATACATTACTAAGTATTTGGCACATGTGTTTTAAAGTAGATTTTTAATTTATTTTTCATCTTTCTTCACTTTAAATTTAACATTCTTGTATTATGTTTACATGCCACTGAATTTACCCCTTGGCAGTGAGGAACAGGGTAGGGGGGAGGAGCCGAACCCCCTGCATTTTGCTCAGGGCAGGTCTGGCTGTGATACTGAGGTTGTCTTGAAGGAACCTGCTCACTGCAGTAGAAGGGGTTGGAGGGATGTAGCATACTCGAGGAGTACTGTCCTGGATTGTACACCCCATTGGGATAGGCTGACATTGCCTGAAAAGGGCACAGCAGAGTGAAGCGGGGTAAGTCTGCTGTGTATTTGACTGACAGAGGGCGTTACATAAGCCTGAAATGTCGGCAGTACCTGGGGATTGTATGAGGCCTGTCCGTTGACCTCTGTTCCAGGGGGGTATGTGCTGCCGTAAGGTCCTGCCGTGTGCGATTGGGGATACCAATAATTTGAGTAGCCGGGATACTGAGATTCCTGAAATAAAAATGGGTCCATGCAGAGACGGTTACAGTCTATAAATATAGATACAGAACTATATATATATATATATATATATATATGTGTGTGTATAATTATGATATGAGGCCTTTTAGGGATAGCAAGAGCAATAATGGCTTAATTTTAATAAAATATACTACAATAAAATAATATAGCCTAAACATGGCCACTCATTCCCCTTAAAACCATGTTCCCAAATCACAACACAATACTGCAAATTGATATAAATATATATATATTAGACTCACCTAAAATTTAAGTAAATGGTTAATCACCTGCATATTTAAATATTATATTACCTATTTATCAAGTGTCACGACTGTTTTCCTTCTTGTTGTCAGATATTTATTAAAATATTAATAATACGAGGTAATTCCAAGGATATTATTCCACATTTCTTCTGCTATGAGTTCGATCACAGCCATGTTAACTCCCTCATACAAATGTTGTAGAAATGAGATGGGATTTTTTAGATAATTTGCCTCATAATAAGCAGGCCCTACTAGTAACTATGGCAACGCCAGAAAACAAATGGCAGGCGTGATGTGCATTTCTCTGACAGAAAATAGAATCGAAATAAGGTAAATTCATTCATTCAAAGTCATCTTCAGATTGGTCCGAATACACATTTGACACGTTATTTTATTATCTGATGATGTTGACCGATACTGAGTGATATAAAACCGCACATGTTGTCCTTTGTCTCAAAGAGCGAGTGCTAACTGTTCAGGCTCGGGCTCAAGTGGAAGTTATTCAGGGAATAAAGGCTTGCTGAGAACACAGTCGAGGTTTATCGACCCTGTGTGCTTTTTAAGGCATTTAGACCCAGGTTACTTCAGGTGGGACTACACAAGCTGTAAATAAGATGCGTGTGTAACGCCATACGACTCACCAATGACTCGTCGCGTTGTTTTTACGTTAAATGAGTGTTTCAATAACAGTCGTACTCAATTGCGCTAGTAAACAATCCTGTCCAGGCTAACCCGAGCGCGCTGCACAGAAAGCATGTGGCTTTGCCTGATGATTTACTAACAAACCCCGCGGGCCATACTGTTGAGTCGGTGGCGTAACGTTACAGCGCGTTGTTCAGCCGTGTGAGAAAGCATTATAAATGTCGTTACCGCGTCCGTGCTCATCTGTCCTCGCAGCCTCTATCAGTATCACATGACAAAAGACTCACCATGCCGTTGTTCCAGTGACTGTTGTCCGAGTTGTAGCTGGAAGGCCAGGAAGACTTGGGATCAGACTGCATCTGCTGATGCATGATCCACGCAGCCTCACCGCCGCCGCGGTCGCCGCCAACCGAGTCGAAAGCCATTCGTGACTAAACCACTAACTCCTTCCGTCCTAAGTTCACTTCCGTCAGTCACAGCTTGGTTTAGAATGGAAGAGGTCTTCTCTAAACCGGTCTCTAATGGTCTGCCGCCACGTTTCACTAAATGCTGTAGCTACAGTGCGTCAACTGGATATATTTCCCATTTTGTCTTGTATGTACACTGCTGAGGCACGGCGCTGTCATTCAGCTCAGCTCGCCAGCCGACGCTCCTTGACTGACAGTTCAACCGACCAATAGGAGACGAGCACTGCGGTGACGCCACTCTCATGTGACACCGGTAATGGGAGGCCGTTGCTGCGAATCGGTTCTGTTCAAGAGATTCGTTTCAGTGATTCTTTTACATTAAAATTCATTTAATAATTGATAATAGGAGTTATTAATAAGAGTTTTGATTGTAAATTCGCGTGCCACCGTTGGTTGTATTCATAAAAACATAAACTAATTCTACCGTTAATATAATATAATTTTAGTTGCTTCAAATGATACTACACTGTAAGGAAATATGTATAAAAACGGATAATGTCCTGGTAGAAAAGTCTGAGTACAATTTGTGTTAAGTTTAAGGGCATTTCCTTAAACACAAAACTATGCAAGGCATAATTCAAAATACGGGTAACACCAGTGAAAAATCAACACGGTACATTATGCTGTATTTTTAAGGACTTTTCTTAGAGAGTAAAATCCAGTTACAAAAAGATTTACGTTTCAGTGAGGGCGGTTTTGTGAACCGGTTCATTGAAAAGAGCCGACTCAAATGAACGATTCGTTCGCGTTCGCATTATATAATCTAACCACTGATGCTCAGTGTGAATCTAACTAAAACACAGAGAAATGGCGCCATTTGGCCGTCAGTCATAGTTTAAGAATAATTTAAAGTTAAACTTGGGACATTTGGAACAAGCAAGCGAGAGTTGAAAGGGTTCAAATGAACTGGAAGCACTTTCACAACAAAGATTAGGAGATAATCCAGGGGCAGGTTCAAACTCAAAGCGGTGTGCACCGTTTTGCTACGGTTTCCGGTTTGAACGACATGTTTCCTGGAAACGGTGTGCAACGGGTTTGAGATGCGTTTTCTCTTGTTTGGTGGGTGTGTCAAACATGTCAGCCCAATCAGCAGCAACATGTATATAAACCACGCGGTATTAAAGAGACAGCTGGCACAATGTAATTAACATCCAAATAAATTCACAAGAGCAAGTATATTGTTTGCACATGTTTATTTACATTAAAGGCAAAATAACTGAAATAATAAGAGCACAAGTCTAGATCTGGAACTTCATTAAGTCTGTCTAAATATCATTTAGTAATTGCGATGTCTTCTGGTCCATATCCTTTCCTTAGGAAGGTGTGCTAAATACTGATTAATGTAACATAAAAATAATATATATATTTATATATTTTGCTATTGTATTGTGGAGTGACACTTTCATAAACTTTTCTATACTGCTCTGATTATATAATGGTAAATATTACAATATCATAGCACAACAACAGTGATCAGCAATAATGATAAGCCTAATACTCACAATCAAAATAATAAGGTCATATAGATCATAACAGTCTCGGAGGTACGAAGTGGATTATCCTTCACCTGAAATGTTTGTCTTTTCATCCTGAAATGTGAGGCAAATGTTGGATCACAATAATTAAGAACCACAGTTTCCACAAATCCCTTCATTTGATTGGGATGTTCTCTTTTATTCTGGAGGGCAAGGGCAGTGATGGTACCATCGAGCGGATTTTGCAGTATTAAACACGCATTTATACCGATTTTTTATACAGATTTCATCAGGCTCTGAAAATTCTTCCAAAAGAACACAAAGAATGGCCTTCTCAGCTGCCATAGTTGCAACTCTTGCGTCATCAGAACAGGGTGTTCAACGCACCAACGTTTCCGTTTAAAAAGCGTTTTGCACCGTTTTTGTCAAGGCTGAACGCAGCCCAGATGTTTTAATTCAAAAAGTTTCCTCGGAAAGTCCAGTGGATCCCGTATTCACATTGAATGAACTAAAACAGGCACTGAAAGGGGTAAGACATACTTCTCCAGGGAAAGATGAAGTGTGTTATGATATGATCAAGCATCTATCAAAAAAAGCATTAAATGTAATCTCAAAACTTTACAATGAAGTATGGAAATCAGGGCAACTCCCGTATTCGTGGAAACAAGGCATTATAGTACCTATTGCAAAACCTGGGAAAGACCAATCTATTCCGATGAACTATAGACCTATTGCTTTAACATCAAACATGTGCAAAGTAATGGAAAGAATGGTTATGTCATGAGTATTATTTTATGTAGGGCAAAAAATGCAGGAGGCTATAGATGTTGTTGAAAATTGAGCTAATCAATTGGGTTTTCGTCTTTCAGTTGAAAAAACCCAGGTAACATGTTTTTCAAAGAAGAAGAAAACTCCTGAAGTTAAATTAAAGTTGTATAAACAAACATTAGAGCAAGTATCACTAATAAGGTATCTGGGAGTATGGATGGATTCCAAATTAACATTTGGGTCACATATTCAGAAGTTAGTTGATAAATGTAAGAAAGGAGTCAATGTGCTGAGGTGCTTGGCAGGAGTAGATTGGGGAGCTACTAGACATTCTCTTAAAAGGGTATACAGTGCATTAATTAGGTCAGCAATTGATTATTGTAGAATAGTATATGGCTCAGCATCAGCCTCATTATTAAATAGGATAGAGGTCATTCAAAACCAAGCCCTTAGAATATGTTGTGGAG